CGCACACACATTTCCCCTTACTTTTTAGGAGGGAAAAAGTCTTATAGAGCAAAAAATACGGTAACTTTAGGCACCAGGCAAAAACATTTCTCTATAAACAGGCCTTTGGCTGATTAACATTCTATGGCCTTTTAAATGTGTTTGTGAGAGAGGACAAAGGTTTACCTTTGTTTTGTTATGTATTTTGTGTTCTCGTTTTGTAGTTTTATGCTGTGAAACACCCTGTGATTTTGGGATGAAGAGCAGTATACAAATTTAATAAATAATAATAATAACTGCATAGCATGTAGCTAGGAGCTCAGGCAACGCTAGAAAATAGGTTTGTAAGCGCTTCTCAGTTATCCCAGGACTCGTGGGTCAAAATCAGTTCTGGACGCCCGAGTCTCCTCTTTTGTGACTCATCAGGCTGCCTCCACTGTCTCCTTTAAGACTCTCCATAAGGTCTAATTCTTCAGCAAAGACAGTCCTGCATCTCCATGCAGTCAAACTGCATGCAAGCTTACTTGACAGTAAGCCACACTGAGAAATATATCCCGCCTCGTGTGTTAAGATTCTGCATTGAGACCCTGCTGTGATACGAACCAAAAAGTGGCTATCCTTCGAAATTTGCAGTCTGAATTTTGCACTGCGGTCCTCCAGCCAAGTCAGGTGTACCAACATACATATGCTAGTATAAAGTGCACTCATAAATGTATGCATTAGTGAAAATGCCATACGAACATGCATTATATCAGGGGGAACTGCTTTGCAAAAACATGCATTCAACACTGTATACAAGAAGATTGTGGACAGGGATTGAGAAACTGAAACTGACAAGCATCCCTAAGTGCCCTGCAGCCTTGTCCTCAGAGAAAACTCAGTAGTGGTCAAAATTAGAAGTCCATGCCCTCCAACATTTCTTCAATGAAAATAGGGATGAAAGCACGTCAAAGTGCAAGTAGATAAATAGGAACTGCTCCGGCGGGAAGGTAAACGGAGTTTCCGTGCGCTCCTCTGGTTCGCCGGAAGCGGCTTAGTCATGCTGGCCACATGACCCGGAAGCTGTACACCAGCTCCCTCGGCCAATAAAGCGAGATGAGCGCTGCAACCCCAGAGTCGGTCACGACTGGACCTAATGGTCAGGGGTCCCTTTACCTTTACCTTTTCCTTTAAGGAAAAGAGGGGCATTCTGGGATCAAATCAGAAACTGGGGTGAGCTCTGTAAATCCAGGACTGTCCCTGGAAAACAGGGACACTTGCCTATTAATTAATAGGTGAGAATTTAAAGCTATAATATATTAAGTTAAAGGACTAAGACAAAAACAAAGAGGGAAAGGAATTGCTGAATTAACCAATTGATTTTTTTTTCTATACTTTGCATTTTGTATGTTTTTTCTCTTTTTTTTCTATATTTTTCATTGTCTTTTATGTAATTTTCTGTTTTTGAAATCTCAATAAATATCATTTTTTTAAAAAAAGAAAACAGGGACACTTGGAGGGTCTGGAAGTCCAGAACAAGAGTGGCATGTAGGTGCATCTCCTCCTCCATCACTTGTGTAAATATGAGTACTGCATCCTGCCGGCCTGCTGAGTCCTAGCAGTCAGTGCCTCCTTTTGCTAACCAAGATGAGGGCCCTTTCCATCAGCTCTTCACAGCTCCGTCAGCAGATGCTTCAAGGCAGCAGCCTCTGCATAAGTGAGTCAATAAACCTACCATGACTCAGCATGACTGGATCTCTTGCTCTGGTAAAAGAGAGTGTAGGAATCCATCACACCTCTCTAGAACACCCACACTTAAAAACAAATTGGTCTCAGTGCAGGGGAGAGAGGGAGGTGTGTGCTATGAGCCAGTGGCGAGGCTTGCAGCAGTTTCAAGGTACTTTGAACACCTATGAATCCAGCCAGGCCACATTGGCACCTGGCAAAGCCAGGAAATTTGACAAAAAGGGGCAGGTGGTGATAACGTACCCTTTGCTGGTTTGTTGGCAAGTTTTCAGGCTACACAGCACTCTTTTTTCAACGGAAGAATTCTGTGCAGCTTCAAAACTAGCTTCATCAGCATTATTAAAATACAAATGGAGGCCTCTGAACAAAAATGCAGTGATCAGAAGACCGCCGCTTACACCGCCTCCAGCTGAAAGCCCAGATATGAAAGGGGAATAGGCAGGAAAGGAAGCGTCACCTATAGCATCAGGACTTGCCATCAGATCATATGTGGGAACCTCAAATCAGAAGTTTTTGCTCTCTACTTCCCATCCCATATTCAGCCTATGAACATGACTGATTCTGCTGATTCCAGCAAATGATGAATGCAAGGCTAATCGCACAATGAGCCGAGGGAGCAAGTTTACTCAGCGCATCGTGCACAGAATAGGAAGCAGGGCACATGGCAAAGCAAGCAGGCAGACACAACTTTGCTACAGGGCAAAGCTGATCCGTAGCTCAACGGAGACAGAGAGCTGCATACATTTCCACATAGGAGAGAGTAAGGCACAGTAAGCAGAGAGGTGCATTCATCCCACTCCAGCCTTTGTCTCCCACTCCATTGTTTTCCCTTTTATCTGCTTTAGACTGTAAGCTCCTTGGGAGCTGAGACTAGTCTGCCTATGAAACTCTAAGAGGTGTCATGTGTTATGACATTGTAGAAGTAATTCAATGAATGAAAGGGAAAGAGTAGACCTCACCAAAGCACCATCATCAGTTCTGAGAAATACAGTTCAAGAAAGATCTACAGTGGTACCTCAGGTTAAGTACTTAATTCGTTCCAGAGGTCCGTTCTTAACCTGAAACTGTTCTTAACCTGAAGCACCACTTTAGCTAATGGGGCCTCCTCCTGCTGCCGCACCACTGGAGCACGATTTCTGTTCTCATCCTGAAGCAAAGTTCTTAACCCAAGGTACTATTTCTGGGTTAGCAGAGTCTGTAACCTGAAGTGTATGTAACCCGAGGTACCACTGTACTAGGAGATGGGTGCCATGGCCTTATAACCATGGCTTTAATTTGTGTCTATGCCATGAAAAGCTTCCCTTGCTTAATTTCTTTGTATGTCATACATCTGGTAAAAGCTGCATGGAAGCAGGGCAGATAGGGGGAAAGTGGCAATCCTTGCTTTTCTTCATCAAGCCTTTGGGGATCTCTGGTTCTCTGACTAAAACAAGCCCCAGCTTGTTGGTCAAGATGCAAACTGAAGGACCTCAAGGCTCCCCTATACCACTTTTTTGTGGGGCTCGGAAGTGATCCAATCACACAGCAGAACTTTAAGTCTGCACTTTTAAAGTGCATTGAGGTCCTCAGAGGCCCTAGAACAACAAATCTATTTTTTTTAAAAAAAAATACAGTACTAGGCTTTTTGCAGTATGGAAAGTGACAGGTAGATGCATTGAAAAGTGTGGAATGAACAAATGGTTAGCGGGAAGATGTGCTAACACCCTGAAAGCAAATCGGGATGACTGTCCATTGTCATATTTCCTCCCTGCAAACAAACCAGGACAAATGCAGAATAAAGACCAGAGGCAGTCTAACTTCTGCATAAGCTTTGTGCAAGCAAATCAGGTTGTACAGTACATGCAACAAGCAGGGCAACTGGAGGGGTCCCTCTGTCTAATGACGGAGCTGCTGTCTCATCTGTCTTGGCTTCCATACGATCCCCATAGAACCATGCACACAAATATGCCTCATTCCACCTCTCTTTCCCCCTCTGTTCATAGAACCATAGAATTGTAGAATTGGAAGGGACCCAAAGGGTCATCTACTCCAACCCCTTGCAATGCAGGAATTTCAGCTAAAGAATCACACACACACACACACACACACACACACACACACCCTGCCCTTCAGGGCAATAGCATTTCCAGCTTACAGAACCAGAGTAAAAGCAAGAATAAAACTGGCAGATAAACAATCAAATAATACGTAACAGAAGCAGTTATCACAATTCCAGCAGAGGTGGAGTGGTGTTAAGAATTAGCAGAAACATACATGCAGTTAACCATTTTTTCAATGCTCAGAACAACCCTGTGGGATGGCTAAACAGAGAGGGGCTTGCTTGCTCAAGGCCATCCTGCGCTCCTCATGGATGAGCAGGACATGAATTTAGGTCTATGTGGTCCAGGTCCCAACCCTCTGATATGCTTAGGATACACTGCTCAAAACCTCTAAAGTCAGAGTCGTGGACAATAGAGCCCCATAAGTAAAGCCTAGTTGGTGGGCATATTCCTGTCCCACAAGCTACACTTTTTCCTCTACAGGTAACTCCCCGCAAACTCACCTCTGAACTGTGCTTATTCCAGCAAGTTTGATGCCGTTGAGCCACTGAAATGGACCACACTACTCACATGTTCATTTCTCATGCAAACTAAGGCCACAGGACCAAACCAGCAAATTCTGCCTCCCTGCAGCTGGAAACTTCGTAACTGTTTTAAAGGGGTTGGATGTCACCTGTTGCACAGGTAAATCTGAACGTTGTTTAACCCAGTTTTGCTCTTGCTCTCTCCCACAGCATTGACCTCTTGACCCAAGCATTTTTAGATCTGCTCCTGTTTTTTTGTTTGTCCCCTCCCACTGTACACTGAGACAGCTAGAATCTGAGTAGGCATCAGGTACAGGAATCTGCTCATTTCCCTCCCTGAGGGCAGGGAAGGGGGACTTGTCGCCCTTCAGAAGTCATTAGACTCCAGCTCCAGCTCCCATTGTGCCCTGTCAGGGTGGCTAACAGTCAGGTACTCAAAACAACATACAGTGGTACCTTGGGTTAAGAACTTAATTCGTTCTGGGGGTCCGTTCTTAACCTGAAACTGTTCTTAACCTGAAGCACCACTTTAGCTAATGAGGCCTCCCGCTGCCTCCGCGCCACCGCCGTGTGATTTCTGTTTTCATCCTGAAGCAAAGTTCTGAACCCAAGGTACTATTTCTGGGTTAGCGGAGTCTGTAACCTGAAGCGTCTGTAACCTGAAACGTCTGTAACCCAAGGTACCACTGTACAGTAGAATCCTTCCAACTCCCTGCAATGCAGGAATATGCAGCGATCCCATACAGGGCTCAAACTTGCAACCTTGGTGTTATTGGCACCATGGTCTAACCAACTGAGCTAGTCAGTCCAGTCTAGAGAGCCTTATTCTGGGAAAAGAGATTTACCTGCACCTCCCCGCTGAAACTGCTGACAGTTTCTGCAGCCTCCTTCCCCTGTGCTGAAATGATCTGACATGCCAGAAGAGCTGCTCTCCTACCCAGCCAGACCCAACAGCCCTGTTACCCAAGTCTCCTTTTCCTACAGACCATGTGCCGTCAGCCAGCGTTGCCATCCGCATTTCACACCCTTCTTTCCTCCTGTGGCTGCAAACTGCTGATAGAGATCTCTCATCTCTTAATCTCAGAGTCATGGGGTTTCAGCCCCACATTGGGCAAAAGATTCCTGCATTGCAGGGGGTTGGACCAGAAGACTCCCACGGTCCTTTCCAACTCTACGATTCCATGATTCTATGACCCTGGAGCTGCAGTGCAGAAGGAGGCATTTAAATGGAAGGGGAAAGGGGTGTGCAGTAGTCCCATGGAGTCTGGCTAGGCAGACTGCTGTGGGCCACATTGAGTACAGCTAAATTGTTGTTTAGTCGTTTAGTCGTGTCCGACTCTTTGTGACCCCATGGACCAGAGCAGGCCAGGCACGCCTGTCTTCCACTGCCTTCCGCAGTTTGGTCAAACTCATGCTAGTAGCTTCAAGAACACTATCCAACCATCACGTCCTCTGTCGTCCTCTTCTCCTTGTGCCCTCCATCTTTCCCAACATCAGGGTCTTTTCCAGGGAGTCTTCTCTTCTCATGAGGCGGCCAAAGTACTGGAGCCTCAGCTTCACGAACTATCCTTCCAGTGAGCACTCAGGGCTGATTTCCTTCAGAATGGAGAGGTTTGATCTTCTTGCAGTCCATGGGACTCTCAAGAGTCTCCTCCAGCACCATAATTCAAAAGCATCAATTCTTTGGCGATCAGCCTTCTTTATGGTCCAGCTCTCACTTCCACACATCACTACTGGGAAAACCATAGCTTTTACTATACGGACCTTTGTTGGCAAGGTGATGTCTCTACTTTTTAAGATGCTGTCTAGCAAAATACCTATAAGTAAATGGCAGACGAGTCCCTCGCTTCAAACATCTGATTCAGGTATGCATGCAAAACATTGTAGATGCTCCTGTCACATTGAGGTCTGAATGTGAGGATGCAGCAAATGTGCATTTCTCAAGATATTTGTCATGCAGGTAGGTGGAAGTGGCTACAGCTATGCTCCCGCGCATGTTTGTATGAACAGTAACACTGAAACGCTGGATCAAAGTGAATATTCACCTAACTGGGCATTTTCTTCCCACAATAGCAACTGGCAAGATGCTTCAAGATATGCAAGGCAGGAAGGCAACAGACCAGGGGTCAGCAACATTTTCCAGCCGTGGGCCAGTCCACCGTCCCTCAGACCATGTGGTGGGCCAGACTATTTTTTTTTGGGGGGGGGAATGAACGAATTCCTATGCCCCACAAATAACCCAGAGATGCATTTTAAATACAAGGACACTTTCTACTCATGTAAAAACATGCTAATTCCTGGAACGTCTGCAGGCCAGATTGGGAAGGCAATTGGGCCACATCCGGGCCCCGGGCCTTAGGTTGCCTACCCCTGCAACATACCTTCCCTTTTGTCTGTCCTCAGCACTTGATACTCATAGGAGTAAAAGAATTTTAGAGTTGGAAAGGATCTTAAAAGATCATCCAGTCCAACCCCCAGCTCAATACAGAAATCATGCAACTACAATGCCCCCAAGAGATGAGCATGCAGCCTATGCTCAAATGCCTCCCCAGTGAAGAAGAGCCCATTTGTTCTGTTGTCGAAAAAGCTCATCCCACTGGGAAATGTCTCCTTGTGTTTTACTAAAAGCTGTCCCCCTGTGATTTTTCACTGGTTCTAATCTTGCCCTGCTCCATCTTCTGCATGACAGCCTTTCAGATATTTGAAGGCAGCTATCATGTCTCCCCTTAATCTCTGGCAGCCTAGGGTGCCTCTGATCACATGGAGCCACTTTAGCTTCTAGCTAATATGACAAGTGTGTTTGCCACAACATATTGCGTGGCGCCACCCTGTCACACTGAGTGGCATCACCACAAGCATAATCCTCTAATCCCCACAACCTTTGTGCATCCAGATCACACACAATATTACAATGGGTGATAATCCAATTGCAGTTGCTCCCAGTCAAACTACCCATTTAGCATTCATTCTGATTTGTTTGCAGGAAAGTTATATGGAGCCAGCTGTTTATTTAGCATTCATTCTGATTTGCTTGCGGGGAAGTTATACAATGCCACCTCAGGCAACTGTTATCCCACAGTTTCCCATCACTTCCCTTACTGCAAAAAGTCTGGTGGTTTTGCAGCTCCTATCATTCCTTGGCCACCTTGCTGATGTTTGAAGAGAGTTGAGGTTCCACAACATCTGCAGTGCCAAAGGCTCCCCACGCCTGCCTTATCAAATTATCCAATGGATCAGGAAAATCCAAATTTAGCAGGAAAATCCAAATTTAGCAAATTTAGTGGGCTGTGGTGTGAACACCACACTCGAAAAGAGAGCCATGAGCAACTTTAAATCCACACTAAACTCCATTGTGGAATGAGGCTCCAGTGACTGGAGAAGTGAGGATCACATTTTTCCAGCAACAGACTACCATGCAGAAGAGCTCTCTTGGGTCCTCCTGTCCCCTCCCTTAACAACAACTGAGTGACAACTGCAAACCAGTTCAACCTTGTGAGTAATTTGGGAACATTTAATGGTGAAGAACTGCTGAAGCTAAGCAAGTGTGGAACAGATTGGTGCCTTGAGTAGGAAGACTCCTGAAGCAAGTTGGATTGATTGATTGATTGATTGATTGATTGATCCATCCATCTGTCTGTCTGTCCCTCCATCCATATATTCTAATCTAGCCAGTGCTGTTTTTCTAGTAAAAGAGTTGCTGTAACTCATCATGAGCACCTCCTTCGTTGAATAATAATAATAATAATAATAATAATAATAATAATTTATTATTTATACCCCGCCCATCTGGCTGAGTTTCCCCAGCCACTCTGGGTGGATTCCAATCAAGTATTAAAAACAATACAGCATTAAATATTAAAAACTTCCCCGAACAGGGCTGCCTTCAGATGTCTTTTAAAGATAGGATAGCTACTTATTTCCTTCACATCTGAAGGGAGGCTGTTCCACAGGGTGGGCGCCACTACCGAGAAGGCCCTCTGTCTGGTTCCCTGTAACCTCACTTCTCACAATGAGGGAACCGCCAGAAGGCCCTCAGAGCTGGACCTCAGTTTCCGGGCTGAACAAAGGGGGTGGAGATGCTCCTTCAGGTATGGCGCCCACCTGAGAGGTGCCAGAACTGATTTCCGGCTGGAAAAAAAAGCCCTGAATTTATCTACACACATGAGGAATAGCCCTTGGACAAGTTGGTTCCCATACTTTGCCACAGCAAGGCGCTCTCTGCTGGGGCGGAGTCGTTTCTTCAAGCATGACAAAGGCAAAACAAAGGCATGCAACATTGCTCACTTTTGTCACGGGTCCAAAAAAGGCAGGCAGATCAAAGGGAAAAGGAAGGAGCCGGCCCACATGGGTAGGAGGCGTCTGGTAAGACATTCTAAGGAAGTGAAAAGCTCAGGGAATGCGGGTGTGGTGCTCCCAATCAACTGGGGAGCAACCAAATACACACACAAACACACAATCCTGGTAACCCACTGGCTGGATTGATTCAAGCCAGGAATGCCTGGAGGAGGAGAAGAATGAGGCAGGGATCATTTCGTCTAATGTATAGCTTTTGAAGTTTTCCAATATGGTTTGTTTACCTCTTTCATTTTTTAATGAGAACGTTTTCCAATGAAAAAGTTAAAAGGGGGGGAGCATTGAATGGAAGACGGCAGGACAGAGGTTTGCCACTGAAGGTAAACTGACCTCAGCATAGGTAAAGGTAAAGGGACCCCTGACCATTAGGTCCAGTCGTGACCGACTCTGGGGTTGCGGCACTCATCTCGCTTTATTGGCCGAGGGAGCCAGCGTACAGCTTCCGGGTCATGTGGCCAGCATGACTAAGCCGCTTCTGGCGAACCAGAGCAGTGCATGGAAATGCTGTTTACCTTCCCGCTGGAGCGGTACCTATTTATCTACTTGCACTTTGATGTGCTTTCGAACTGCTAGGTTGGCAGGGGCAGGGAGCGAGCAACGGGAGCTCACTCCGTCGCGGGGATTCGAACCGCCGACCTTCTGATCGGCAAGTTCTAGGCTCTGCGGTTTAACCCACAGCGCCACCCACATCCCATGAACCCCTGCTTCAATGGACCCCTATAAAAAATAATAATCCAGTGCTCTTTCTCATAACTGGGGCCCACAGGTTGCTAGGACTCATGAAGGTGATGTTGGATGCTCCGTAGCCTCCACCTCTATTTCTGCTCAAGCCCTTGACTTTTAAATATCTTACACCAAGATGCTTCTCTATTTTCCCTGTTCCCGATGTAGCTTGTGACTTTGAGGCGTCCTCCGAGCCTCACGTCCCATTGGCAGCGGGAGGTTGGGTTACAGTCGCCCGGGTGGGGATTCGGTTTCTGACTCCTAGGCCTGAGAAGGGAAACGCTTCCCAAGATGAAAGGCACCAATTGCCTCCCCCCCGCAAAAGCCTTGGCATGGTTTCTGCCATCTCTCTTCTGGGGTTGATCTCTATGTGTCTCCCATCTGAGCAGACCCCTCAGTCTGGATGCTGAGATTGCATAGAAGGGAAGAGGTATCACTCCCTCTTGGGTATTTTGGGGCTGTTCACTAATTTGCTCTTATCAGTAGGGATGGCACAGAAATTCAGTTCACATTTAAACAAACCAAACATCCCAAAACAATACGCAAACTAAAACCCAGCTTTCAAAATTTGCACTTTTCTGAATTTTGCAATGTGGTTCTCCAGCCAAGTAAGGTTTATGAAAATGCTTCATATTTTTATGTATTTATTTATATTTATACCCCGCCCTCCCCAGCCAAGACCGGGCTTAGGGCGGCTAACAACCAATAATAAAAACAAGTTGATTAAAATACAATTTAAAAAAGAAGATTAAAATACAACATTGAAACATTAGGATGGGGCCTCTTCACAGGAGGAGAAAGGAAAAAGAAAGCGGGGGAGGGAATCAAACTGATTCTAAGCCAAAGCAAGGCAGAACAACTCTGTCTTACAGGCCCTGTGGAAATAAATCAGATCCCACAGGGCCCTGGTCTCATGAGACAGAGCGTTCCACCAGGCCGGAGCCAGTGTTGAGAAGGCCCTGGCTCTGGTTGAGGCTAATTTAACTTCCTTAGGGCCTGGGACCACTAGGGTGTTGCTATTTATGGGCCTTAAGGTCCTCCGTGGGGCATACCAGGAGTGTATTTGGGGAAAGTGTGCATGGACGCATTAGTGAAATTAGCATAGGAAAATGCATTACATCAGGGGAAATTGCATACAAAAATATGTATAATAGGATACGTTTGCACTAAAATGCTGATGAATTTTCACGAGAGCTTTTTTTAAAAAAAAGAAAGAAAGAAATAATGAGCTGATGATGAAACAGAGAATCCAAAACTTGACAGATTTGCCCATCCCTAGGTTAGCACCAAGGTCCGTATAGTAAAACCTATGGTTTTCCCAGTAGTGATGTTTGGAAGTGAGAGCTGGACCATAAAGAAGGCTGGTTGCCGAAGAATTGATGCTTCTGAATTATGGTGCTGGAGGAGACTCTTGAGAGTCCCATGGACTGCAAGAAGATCAAACCTATCCATTCTGAAGGAAATCAGCCCTGAGTGCTCACTGGAAGGACAGATCGTAAAGCTGAGGCTCCAATACTTTGGCCACCTTGTGAGAAGAGAAGACTCCTTGGAAAAGACCCTGATGTTGGGAAAGATGGAGGGCACAAGGAGAAGGGGATGACAGAGGACGAGATGGTTGGATAGTGTTCTTGAAGCTACCAGCATGAGTTTGACCAAACTGCGGGAGGCAGTGGAAGACAGGAGTGCCTGGCGTGCTCTGGTCCATGGGGTCACGAGGAGTCGGACACAACTAAACAACAACAACAAGGTTAGCACCATGCAACAGGAAAGAGAACATTGGGGTCCACTCAGGGTCAGGCTGCCTTTGGACCAAACAATTATCTGGCTGGTGTGACAGTCCTTTATGGGATGCCATATGCCAAATTAGTCCTAATCGAAGGAAGGACTCCCCCCTCCCCACAACACACTAAGTCACCAGCTGTCCCAGAAAGAAAGCAATGGTCAAAACATAGGCAATAAAGTTCACTGAGGAGCATAGCCTTGATGACATAGGAAATTCAGAGGCATGGTCAAGGAAAACTTGGGACTGCCCTTGAAAACTATCTAGAACTTCCGCCTAATGCAAAAAGCATCACCCTATCTCCTGATGAGAGAAGACAAGGGGGAACATGCAACAGCAATTCTCCTGCATTTGCACCAGCTTCTTCCAGACACAATTCAAGGTTTTTGGCTAGTGTTACTTATATGGCGCTGTGGGTTAAACCACAGAGCCTAGGACTTGCCGATCAGAAGGTCAGCGGTTCGAATCCCCGCGACGGGGTGAGCTCCCGTTGCTGAGTCCCTGCTCCTGCCAACCTAGCAGTTCGAAAGCACATCAAAGTGCAAGTAGATAAATAGGTACCGCTCCGGCGGGAAGGTAAACGGCATTTCCGTGCGCTGCTCTGGTTCGCCAGAAGCGGCTTAGTCATGCTGGCCACATGACCCGGAAGCTGTATGCCGGCTCCCTTGGCCAGTAAAGCGAGATGAGCGCCGCAACCCCAGAGTCGGCCACGACTGGACCTAATGGTCAGGGGTCCCTTTACCTATAGTGCAGCCTGTGATCTTTGGGGATGGACAGCTCCACCTATACGAACACTCTCACACACACCCTTCCAGTTTCCTTAGGGGGGTAGGAAGGGGCTAAGCCTTCCGCCCCATCCTCTCTGGATCTTAGATCAAGGGGGATTTGCTTCCCTGCCCTCTGGAATTCTCTTTCAGCAGGCCTGCCTCAGCCTGTTCTTCCTGCAACTTCAGAAGGCAGGTGGGGGTAGCGGGAACTTCCTCTCGGAGCAAGCTTTTGGGCTGTGAGCCGGCTTGAATCTAAGCTCTCTCCTCTGAAAAAGGTTTTCGTTTGGTTTAATGTGTTATTTTATTGTATTGGCTTATGTATTTTAGCACGCATCGCCTTGGGCGATATAAGGAGATGATAAACGCAAACACACTCCCTAAAACAAAATCCTTTAAAAAAAAATATAAAATCATAGTAACTGCTGAGCAAAATGGTTGGAACAGGCACAAAGAAGAAAAGAAAAGAAGCGAGGAGTCCAGTGCTTTGCTATGTCTGGATGATATATAGTCCCCAAGCCAGGAAAGATTTGGTTTCTGATTTGCTCTGCTGCAGAAAGTGTGGGTATGTTTTGCCTGGGGGAAGAGAGATTAGCCCCGCTCAGATATCTGAAGGACTGTCACATAGCAAATGGGGCAAATTTGTTTTCTGTTGCTTCAGTGGGTTCGATGGGTTTGAATTACAAGAAAGGGGATTTTGACAAAAGATTAGGAAAAACTTCCTGAAGGTATGAGCAGTTCGGTATCGGAAAGTTGCAGGCTCTCTTTTGCTGCATGTTTTCAGCAGAAGCCGGACAGCTGTCTAGCAGGGATGCTGTAGCAGAAGATTTCCAGCAACACTGGGGGGACTGGACTAGGTCATCTGCAATAACCTTACCAGCTCCAATATGTTCTGTGTGATGCATAAAGAAAGAAAGGTTTCATCAGGTTTTATACTGATGAAAATGGCTCCACTTGGCAGGCAGGGCAATCTGATGTGGAGCTGAGGGTACAGCTTATGCCAAGCAGATGCCAATGGCACGCCACTAACTGGCCTGTGCTACAGGTCATACCTGCCTCTTAGCCACAGTCAGTGCTTTTTTTCTGGGGGTACGCATACCCCTAAACATTTTGTGAATCTTTGTACTTTTGTCCATTTACTGTCTTTATTTTCCTGGATTTGAACTATAAAATGGTAATATTCTTGAGTCAAAATGAGAGTACAGTGGTACCTCAGGTTACAATCTTAATTTGTTCCGGAGGTCTGTTCTTAACCTGAAACTGTTCTTAACCTGAAGCACCACTTTAGCTAATGGGGCCTCCCGCTGCTGCCGCGCTGCTGCTGCGCGATTTCTGTTCTCATCCTGAAGCAAAGTTCTTAATCTGAAGCACTATTTCTGGGTTAGCGGAGTCTGTCCTGAAGCGTATGTAACCTGAAGCGTATGTAACCCGAGGTACCACTGTATAAGATTGCTGGTAACACATCAGTGCAAGTCTGTAGTAAAAACTGGCACCTGCAGCTGTGCATGTGTTTGTTCATTGTTGGAGACATGTGGAAGGGAAGAGATAAGCAAGAGCCCTTTCCTCATCCTATTCCCAGAAAGAAACAGAAGCTTTAGAAGTAGGGAAGATTCTGTTAAAGGATGCAGCAAAGATCCCTGGACACGTGTTGATGGGTCCTGTGGCTCACAGAATTGTAGAATTGGAAGGAACCACAAAGGTCACCTATTCCAACCCCCTGCAATGCAGGAATCTTTTCGCCCAATTTGAGTCTTGAACCCATGAACCTGATATTAAGAGTTTCATGCTCTACTGACTGAGCCATCCCAGCAGTCATCTTTTAAAGAACGGGTGCAAGGGCTCATATCAGCTTAGAAGGCACGCCTTCTGCACATACTCAGAAACACTCTCTCGTTCCCATGAGACAGGCTGAAAGCTGACATGAAGAACAGGGCTTAAATGAAATAATGACTGGGTAAAAAAGGGATCAGGGACGCGGGTGGCGCTGTGGGTTAAACCACAGAGCCTAGGACTTGCCGATCAGAAGGTCAACGGTTCGAATTCCCGTGACGGGGTGAGCTCCCGTTGCTTAGTCCCTGCTCCTGCCAACCTAGCAGTTCAAAAGCACATCAAAGTGCAAGTAGATAAATAGGTACCGCTCCGGCGGGAAGGTAAACGGCGTTTCCGTGCGCTGCTCTGGTTCGCCAGAAGCAGCTTAGTCATGCTGGCCACATGACCCGGAAGCTGTACGCCGGCTCCCTTGGCCAATAAAGCGAGATGAGCGCCGCAACCCCAGAGTCGGTCACGACTGGACCGAATGGTCAGGGGTCCCTTTACCTTTAAAAAAGGATCTCTCCTAAAACAGGGAAATCCAAGACTGGCCCCTATTCCTCCCGAGGGCGTCACTGCATCTTGCCCTGACCCCTCTGCCTGTCGCAGTGCACATGGGGTTACTCAGAGGCACCCAAGAGTCAACTCCTTTTGCAGGGTAGCTTTCCACCAACTTGCCCTGAGGTGCCGGTAGCGGGGGGAGTCACCCACACGACCACCCCCAAGCAGGCTCCGCTGCCAACCTTGCGGGGAGGCTCACGTTTCCCATTCTCCCGTGACATTAATAATGCAGGCCGTGCCGTGTCGTGCTCAATAGCTTGCTGCTAATTTGCTGTTCTATCCTTTTGTGCACCGGCCGAACGGGACTTTAATGGATGTAATGATGAGAGGCGGAAACCTGAGAGCCGGATCCCAACCCAGCCATGCCGCCAGCTGCGTGGCTCAGGAGCAGGGCACGCCACCCCCCTCCACATTGCCAGTAGGGCGAGCCTTAGGTTTCCACGGGATCAGGGAAATTTGACGAGGCTTCACCTCCTGGCCGACCCTCCCTTCCACCCCCCTCGCACCTTCTGGTGTTGCTGGTCCCAAGGGCGCCTTCTGCTCCACCCATGTGGCCTTTCTTTTCAACAGCCAAAGGGGACCAGGTGGGAAGCTTGCATCCGCATCCCACAGGGTTCCTGCTCCAGGCATATGTCGCAGGCCCTCTGGGCAAGGGAAGCGAATGGTTAAACATGTAAGGCAGGGAGGGCTATCCTGGGGGGCACTCAAGATGCTGCTGGACCACAGTTCTCATCCTCCCAAGCCATTGGCCATGCTGGATGGAGGTGTCGTCAGCTGGAAGGCCCAGTGGTACCTGGAAGGCCAAAGGTTCCCCACCCTTCCCTTGCTGTAGCTAAGCTGTGTGGTCCTCCAGGGGTTAATGGACTACATCTCCCATCAGCCCCAGCTGGCATGGCCAATGTCCTGGGATGACAACGCTTTATTAGATTTCTTGCCTACCCTTCACCACGAGGTCCCAAGATGGTTTACAGCAATTTAAAATTGCAATATTAGAAAGAGTTAGGACAAATCCTAGTCAAGAGAATAGGGCGGGTCCGGAAATATTATATCACAAGTGTCAAAGACGGAGGAGAAGGGGAGGTGGATCTTTAGTATATTACAGAAACTACATAGCGAATGTGCAAAATGTGCCACTGTGGGCAGGCCTTTCAAGAAGGCTCCTACTCCCAACCTGAATTTCTGAGGGCAGTGGAACAACCTCTGCCAATCTTCACAGGTATTTGGTGGCCTAAGTTGTTTAGGGCTTTAATGTGCGCACCTTGAATTGGGCCCCAAAATGAATCAGCAACTAATGACGGGAGTTATAGTTCAGCAAAAACTGGAGATCCACAGGACTCCCACCCCTGTTATAAGCAAATCCCCATCTCTCAGCCTTGGTCCCTTTAGGCTACAGGTAAGAACCATGATTTGATTAAATTTGTGGGGGCCAGTGGGGCTTTAGGATTTCATTAAGGCACAGCCGTACCTAGGGGTTGGTGAAACCGGTCCCCGCCACCTGTAGCCTAAAGGGACCAAACCACTTCCAGCCTCCCTGTCATCTGAGCAACGGGGAAGAAGAGGCTGAGAGATGGGGATTTGCTTATAACACAAAAACCAGACAACAGCAGCCAGAATTCTCTATGCACAAAAATGAAAGAAGAAGTTCCCACCAAAGAAGAATGTGTAAGTAAGGTGGTGGACTATGGCAAAGTTAACAGCCAAAATAAGAGAATCTAATGATGATTGCTTTGTGGAAGAATGGAAGCCCTTTTCAAACCATCTAATATCATAGTTTGATGTACTCATGAGGCAGATTTGAAATATGAGCAACAGAAGGAATTAGCGAACACAGTATCGATGTGTTGGTATAATAAATAAAAGGGATTGTGTAGTAGAGAGAGGGGGAGAATTAAACCACCATGGGAAATGGGGCAGGAAGTCGAGAAAAGATAAATTTATTATGTATTGAAATATATATGTCAAACTTTTGAAAATTCAATTTAAAATGTTTACAAAAAAAAACCCCAGACATATTTGTGGGGTGATGCAACGCACGACACAAAAACATGCAAATCTTGCCTTTGACAATATTTCTTGGAGTTTCATGAAGAAGAACCTACAGGGGATGGGGGTAGGCCAAGGCTTTGAAAACGGTATAAGTGCAATTTATTCAGAACAAAAGGCTAAATTAATTGTAAATAACGTGGTGACGGAGGAATTTAAGATAGAAAAAGGGACACGACAAGGTTGCCCAATCTCCCCATTGCTATTTATATCGGTCCTGGAGGTCCTGCTGAACATGATTAGAAGGGACCAATTGGTTAAAGGTATACAAGTCGGAGCTAAACAGTACAAATTGAGAGCATTTGCAGATGACTTAGTATTGACATTGCAGGAGCCAGAATCTAGTACTAAAAGGGTTTTGGAACTGATTCAAGAATTTGGTCAGGTTGCAGGATTTAAATTGAATAAGTTAAAAACAAAGGTCTTAGAGAAAAACTTAACTGTGATTGAGAAAGAGAGGTTTCAGAATGAGACAGGTTTAACAGTGGTTAAGAAAGTGAAATACCTGGGGATTAACATGACAGCAAAAAATGTGAATCTATTTAAAGACAATTATGAAAAATGCTGGGCTGAAGTGAAAAAAGACTTAGAAATTTGGTCAAATTTGAAGCTTTCACTGCTAGGCCGTATTGCTGCGATAAAAATGAATGTACTGCCTAGAATGTTATTTCTCTTTCAAACATTGCAAATTTTGGACAAAATGGATTGCTTCAAGAGGTGGCAGAGAGATATTTCTAGATTTGTCTGGCAGGGCAAGAAGCCTAGAATAAAATTTAAAATACTAACGGATGCAAAGGAAAGAGGTGGATTTGCCCTGCCAGACCTTAAACTTTATTATGAATCAGCAGCTTTTTGCTGGCTGAAAGAATGGCTGCTTCTTGAAAACACAGACATTTTGGACTTAGAAGGTTTTAATAATGTATTTGGATGGCATGCATATTTGTGGTACGATAAGGTCAAAGCACATAAAGCATTTAAAAATCATATTGTCAGGAAAGCATTGTTTAATGTCTGGATAAGATATAAAGACCTACTGGAAAATAAAACCCCAAGGTGGCTGTCACCGATGGAAGCGAAAGCTCTGAAAAAGCTCAATATGGAGGCCAAATGGCCGAAATATTGGGAAATTCTGGAACAAGAGGGAGATAGACTGAAATTGCAGAGCTTTGAGAAACTAAAAAACAAAGTGCGAGATTGGCTTCATTATTATCAGATAATGGAGGCATACAATTTGGATAAGAAAATAGGCTTCCAGGTGGAAAAATCAAAATTAGAAACAGAACTGTTAGAACCCAAAACTAAGATTCTGTCAAAGATGTATAACTTGCTGTTGAAATGGAATACTCAGGATGAAACGGTCAAATCTGCTATGATTAAGTGGGCACAAGATGTTGGACATAACATAATGATGGCTGACTGGGAACAGTTATGTACCACAGGTATGAAGTTTACGGCATGTAATGCCTTAAGAGAGAATATTATGAAAATGATATACAGGTGGTACATGACACCAGTCAAGCTTGCAAAAATCTATCACTTGCCCGATAATAAATGTTGGAAATGTAAAGAGACTGAAGGTACATTCTTTCACCTTTGGTGGACATGCCCAAGGATTAAGGCTTTCTGGGAGATGATCTATAATGAAATGAAAAAGGTATTTAAATATACCTTCCTGAAGAAACCAGAGGCCTTTCTCCTGGGCATGGTCGGCCAATTGGTACCAAAGAAGGACAGAACTTTCTTTATGTATGCCACAACAGCAGCAAGAATACTTATTGCAAAGTATTGGAAGACACAAGATTTACCCACTCTGGAAGAATGGCAGATGAAGGTGATGGACTATATGGAACTGGCGGAAATGACTGGCAGAATCCGAGACCAGGGAGAAGAGTCGGTGGAAGAAGATTGGAAGAAATTTAAAGACTATTTACAGAAACATTGCAAAATTAATGAATGTTAGAATGATGTCAGAATGAAATTAAGTGGTCTTAGCAGCAATGCTATAAAGGTGTATGTACAAATGGATTGTTAACAGATGAGAATTTAAAGATATAATATGTTAAGTTAAAGGATTAAGATAAAAACAAAGAGGGAAAGGAATTGCTGAATTAACTAATAGAACTGGAATACAAAAAAGGGAGGTGTGAGGAAGTCAGGGAAGTAAGGAAATGAAATGTAAGTTATGGAATGATCGATGTCTTTTTGTTTTTTTTAAGTGCTTTCTATCTTTTTTCTGTATTTTGTATTTTTTTCTTTTTTATTTCTTTTTCTTTTTCTTTTTTTTATATATGTAATTTTTTCTTTGAAACTTTAATAAATATCATTTAAAAAACAACAACATGCAAATCTTTAGCCCTTCCTCCCTGCCTCACTCTCACTACAGACGCTTTGAGTACT